TTTTTGCATTGGTTATTAAGCCTTTTGATGATACACACTTGATTTGGCTATCTTAATCAGCTTTGCTATTCTTATAGGGCTGGGGCAGGCAATTATTTCAGGCGGAGGGCCACTTACTGAGTTTTGGCAAGCCATCAAGGGCCACATGACAGGTAGCCAAGGGCAGATAAATATTAATTTTCTAAATTTTTTAGGGGCCCCGTGGGCCGGATACAGTGGCCTGGTGGGCTGCATCCGGCCCACGGGCCGCATTTTGCCCACCCCTGTTATAGGGCCAACTTTAGTTGAATAGGTCTGAATAGTGGAGTAAGTTTATACATTTACCATAACATAGTAAGAAAACAAGAGTAATGGGCAAAGCATTGTATCTAATATGTATTTAGCATTCAGTTGATGGGCAAAACTAGAGTAAAATACATATTGACCTGTAATTCTGTAAGGGCCATTTCAAGCTTAGCATATGCAAATGCAGCTTCCATTGAAATCAGAGGAGATTATGCCTGGTTCTTGGAGAGCTGAATTTGCTGAAAACACTGGGAATGGAGTGGTGCAAGTTAAGGGGAAAAAGAAGACAAAGTACAAGTATACTTTTGATTAGCATAATTACAGTAATATAGCTGTGTTTAACACAAAATGCCAACAATACCATTGTGTACCTCACTGCATGTTAAAAGTTGATTTCCATGTTATTTAGAATATGTATTCCAGGCCAGAATTCAACATGCATGGTCTCCACATAGGAGCAAATCTTCTGTTACCAATTTTTCTTATCAAAAGTAAGCTATCTATGGTACAATAGGCAGAAGGTAGGGTATGATGGCACTTTAGAGATTAACTGGTTCAGAGGGGCATGAGTTTTGCCATAAAATGACCTTGGGCAATACAGTTTTACTTCTGTTCATGTGCAGAAGTGACGCCATCTTGGCAGGGCTAAGTGGTTCAGTGGCTATCTTATACCTGGGCATAGGATCTAGGCATTCTTCCAACTAAATCCCCTGAAGGCACAGTCTAGTAGATGTGCTCTGCACATGCCTAACACACCAGCAGTATTGATTACAGCATAAAACAGTAGCTACAGGCATTTTCATTAAAAAATGACAGAGACAATGAGAAGCGTCTCCTCAGTGAACTGCAATGAGTAGAAGGCTTTTGTCTGAAAATGAATAAGACATCAGCAGAGCTGAGTGAACTCCAGTGAGGCCCTGCAACATGGTGGCCTGTCCTTTTTAGAGGGGAAAACCAGCTCTGTTAAATACCTGCAGCTGTAGGAAGGCTGATGATAGGGGAGTGGGTCACTGGGAGCTTACAAACCTCAGAGAGAAGAGCAGCAGGGCAGCAAACTGCTGCTGTTAGCATAGGCAATATGTGCCTCCTGAGGCTGAGGGGGCATGGTGACTGCCCGCAGGCAATGGCAGCAGGGGCATGGCGGCAGCGAGCAGGGACTGCCCATAGTCAGCTGTGCTGACATTGGTGATGAGGGCAGGCTGAGCAGGGACTGTCTGCAGGAGGCTGCAGCAGTGTCGGCAGTGGGGGGTGGGGTTCCCCCACAGCCAATCACCAACTGGGGGAGATGAAGTCCCACCGCAGCCAGGCGCTGATCCTGGAACTGCCGGCTACATGCCTGGAAGTGCCAGCGACACTTCTTGGGTGGGGGGTTGGCACCAGTGCTCTGCCTGTTCCCCCTGCCCATCACCAAAGCCGAGAGTGCTTTCTCTTTCGGGGGGCACCAGCTCTTTCAGGGGGTGCACATGCACCCCTGTGCACCTCCTATGTGTTGTCTATGGCCGATAGGGAACAGTTGTGAGCCAGAGACAAGTGGTGGGCTGAATTGCTTGCTGCACGGAGCGCCAGACTTCTGTGTGACAGCTGTGTTGTTTTTAATAGACCAAATAGTTAAGCTTATAAATGATAAAGCAGCAGTATCTTGCTTACAGTGCTCCTGCAATTCCCCCCACAAATGTAACAAACTTATATGTAACACTCTTAAAGGTGTCCACATATCTTTTCCCTTTGCATGTAACATACCCCCCATGTAATATACTAACATTGACAGTTTAATTCAACCCAGGTGCATGTGCACCCCCTGAGACCGCTGGTGCACCCCCTGTCAGGCTGTGCTTCCTGTTTAGTCAGCAGGCAGGGGGGAGGCAGGAGCACCAGTACCCCCCCTGTGAGTGCCAGCCAGGGAGTGGGGCTGCCAGCAAAAGGGACCCCATTTATTCATAAGGGGGTAAAGCTCAGTGGTAGAGCATTTGACTGCAGATCAAGCGGTTCCTGGTTCAAATCCAGGTATCCCCTTGCTTTTCCCAATGCACATCAAGGGTGGGCAGGAATGCTAAGAAGCCCCCATAGCTTACCAAAGGCATCCAGGGATGCTTGAGGGCAAAATAGGAGGCCTACAAACAGTGGAAGCAAGGGGCTATCACCAAAGAGGATTACACATCTGTAGCTCGGGACTGCAGGGAGGCTGTTCAGGAAGGCCAAGGCAGAGATGGAGCTAGGGTTATCAACCAGAATTAAGGAAAATAAAAAGTTATTTTTTGGGGGTTGGACTAGATGATCTGTCTAGGTCCCTTCCGACTCATTGATTCTATGATTCTAGTTTTTGTGTTGGTTTTTTAGCTCTAAACAGTGATCTTCCTCAGTTTCTCTGCATTGTCAATCCTTATTTGTTCAGTTCTTTTTTGGTTTCCTTGCTCAGATGTCTCTATTTCTGTGTCATTTTCAATCTCCTCTGTTGTTTTTTTGTTGCTTTGATGTTAGCTCTGTTTCCTTTGGTGAATCTCATGATGCTGCTTCTTTTCTCTTCTTTATGAGCTGCAAGTGGCATCTGTTCCTTCTTAATACCAGTCTTTCTGGTGTGACTACTTTATAGGACCTAGGAGCTACTTGATAGGAAAGTAGTGCTTTTTGTTTCCATGTTTATCCATCTGAAATAAGCACCATATCTTTGTTGTGCAGTTGGGGTAAGTCCCTGGAACGCCTGTTATAGTACCATTTTTGTTTGAATTTGTGGAATATTTTAAATGTTTTCACTTTTCATTCTGATGAGCATCATCCACAAGATTTGGCAGCTTGGTTTTGAGTTTCCTGTTAAACAGCATTTCTGCTGGGGACAATCTATGTTTCATGGGTGTTGCCCTGTAATTTAAGAGTGATAGGTAAACATCGGTGTGTGAATCTGTAGCTTTTTTCAACAATTTCTTCACTATTTGTACTCCATTTTCCACCAGACTATTGGATTGTGGGTATTTAGGACTTGATGTGTTGGGACAGAATCAATATTTGTTTGTAAACTCTTTAAACTCAAGACAGTTGAATTGAGGTCCATTATCTGTTCTCACAATTTGGGGAATCCCATGTGTACAGGGTGCTCAATCAGTGGTGTGTAATCAGGTGTGCTGAAATGTAGTTCTCACTCTTGGGGGCCTAGTTTGACAGCCAATGTTTATTTTAATCTCTGTGCCTGTATGTTCCACCTCTGTTCTTACCCACCATGACTTGAATTTAATTTATTTTGATCGGAAGGCTCCTAACTGGTTAAGAGCTTTAGGTAAGATTGATGGCTGTTTCCTTGGGGCTCCTACCTCCCCTTTTATGCCAATATTTCACCAGCCAGATATTACTCTAGAATAGGTTCAAAGTCTCTTTATACAAGTTCAATGTCAATCGCTATAATAGAACTGTTAATTCAGTAAGGTATTATCTCAACTTAGGAAGAAAACTGTATTGGTGATGGACTCATAGTTAGATGTTTCCACATCCAGGTTCTCCACTCCTTGTTGTGGACCGCTTCCCAGGAAATCTCCAGTCCGGGTTTTACTCCAGTGCCCCTCTCGCCCGTCACTTCTCCAAATGACAGGACTTAAAATGCTCTCTGTCCATCCCCTTTTTGGGGTGGATTGTCTGTGTCTGACCAACCTTGTCCTCTCTGCCAGCCACTTCACTTTTGTTGGCTCGTGGGCTGTTGTTGATCTTCCCTGGTGTGCAGGCATGACTGCCAGGGCTGGTCTTCCCTGGCTTGCCTGTCCTCATGCCAGTCTTCACCGGCGTGCAGGACTGCCAGTGCCGGTTTTCCCCGGCTTGCCTTCCACCAGCTGACTGCTGGCTCTCTTTTGAAGCCAGCTCCGTGCTTCTGTCCAAACCAGAAGCAGCTGGATGCCCCCCAACATGCCTTCAGCACATGCTTTTAAAGTGTGCTGGAGGCTCTCTGCAGTCCCTTCGCTGCTCCCCTGTTCCTGCCGAGATGTTCACTGGCTAGTAAGCAGCTTCTATGGCCCTTCCTGGGCCCAACACTTTTATCTCAGGGTCCAGCAGTTCCCTTCTGGCTGGTCTCCATTCGGGCCTCTCCTGGAACATGGGAGGCATGCTCACACGCCATGCCTAGCAAAAATCAATTTGATGTGAGTTATGACATGGTTTGCTGTTGTGCTTTTGAGCAATGCAATTTTAGGATAGTGAGAATAATAATCCAGCACTAATGCATTATTTTTTCCTACATGTATGAACAAGTCAATGCCTACTTGATACCACAGAGCTATAGACTCCATGACCATCATGGGCTCTTTTCTTTGTGCTGATCTATACTTTAGGCATGTTGGACAAGCCTTCACAGCATCTTCTATGTCATTATTTATGGTGGGCCAATATAGAGCACCCCTAGCTCTCCTTTTCCATTTTTCAATGCCTAGATGCCCTTTATGTATTCTGTTTAACATGTATTTCTTTGGCACTGCTGGAACAACAAGTTGTGAGCCTTTGAACAAAATGCCATCCAGTACTGACAGCTCTTCCTTGACCTGAGGGTAGGGGTTAGGTATATGGTTTCCAGGCCAACCAGCACAAATATCTTCATAGTTTCATAGTCATAGTTGGTAGGGTCAGAAGGGACCTGAGCAGATCATCAAGTCCGACCCCCTGCCATGGCAGGAAAGAGTATGGGGTCAAACAACCCCGGCAAGGTGTACATCTAGCCTCCTCTTAAAGACCCCCAGGGTAGGAGCCAGCACCACTTCACT